AATGTCCCAAATCAGTAACAGGTCCCCACCCTCCACTTGGGTTGTCAGGAAGGCATACCTGATGTCCTTGGGAAGTTCTGGCAGCTGCATCTTCTTCATCATGGCGTAGTGTGAGATGGCCAAGACAGCCATCCCCAGGCACTCATTCTCAATATCATGTCCATCCTGCTCCGTCTTGGGGTCCCGGATGGGAGCTAGGCATTTGATCAAATCATACTGTCCCTTAGGAGCAGAGAAAAGAAAAACTGAGTCACCACCTAAGCTTCAGGAGCCACCATGTTGACCTTGAGAGGAAAGCTAGCCAAAATGCCACACACAGAGCAGAGAGAAGAATCAGTGTGTCTCCGGGATCAAGGCCGTTTCCACTAAAATGGAGCACAAGGCAGCTAAGAATATGCTCTCTCTAGATTACTTCATTCATTCACCCATTTAGTATTTATTAAGTACTTGTCAAGGTGCTGAAGAGCACAAATTTACAAACCCCCTTCATGGGGCTTCTAATAAATAATGCCTAAACACTGTGAATATTAGGTCTCAACTGCATCAGAGCAAGACAGGTGACACTAAGCTGGCAGAATTAATTTCATAAACACTTACTATTATGGGTTTGGAGAAAGGGCAAGGAGTTACATTCCACAATACATTATTACCACAAACCATTAGTTTGTTCCACATGTGTTAGTCATATTTCTAGTACAGAAGAATGTCATGAGAGTATCTCACAGATGGAGGGAGGAACACAGCATTCCACAAACCAACGGGGACTTTACAAACAAAAAGACAAAATATGAAAAACGAGACTAAAACCAGTACCCAGAGCCAGCCCTGTTCAGAGCACTAATGAGCAGTGCAGGCTCCCACTCACTCTCCCCTAGCCTCCCTACCAGACATGTGAGTCTTTCCTTTACACCACCTCAGTCCTACAACAGCCCTGTCAGAGTCCTACTAGGGGAGAAATCTAACTCTAAGCACCACATCCGGTCGATTCTGAAGAAGAGAAACAGGAAGCACTAATGTTAGATGCTTACAAAAAAGGAAGGTCACATAGAGGAGATGCATGGAGTGATGGGCTGAGAGAAAGCCTGACCCTGACTCCAGGGAACTTTCCTCAACACTACAACAGCTGCACCAACTCTCTGCTAGGTTTTTCTTCTCCGAGGAAGTGAACTTCTCAGCCACTTTCCCTGGCAGCACTTCAGTTTCATATTATTGTTCTGCTTTTCTTTGGTTGGGGGTGAGATAGGCTGCAGTTCTTTCTGCCCACAGTAGTTTTTTCTTTCAGGTAAAGTAAGGTCATTGGCTATTTTCACAACGTTTTGAGAAAGAACAAGAATTAACACCAATAGTACTTGAGGAGCAGAAAAATCTGATGCTGAGATCTTGGAAGAGGAGGGAGAACCTGACTGTGGGCACTCTAACCCACAGTAACTGATACTGATCCTCCGGAAGTGAGATTCTAACGCAAGGGTGACCCCATCGTCGAAGCAGGGCACTCTTTCTCCAGTGAGTTCTCCAAATTCACGCCACTCCACAGGCTCCATCACTAAAGTCTGTCCCTTTCTCCTCTTATTATTATTTTCTTTTTAAGTCATAATCTCTCTGTGTAGCCCAGGCTAACCTCAAACTCACAACATGAGTCTTTAAAGTGCTGGAATTACCGCCCTTCACAGGTATGAGACACCACGCCTGACCCTCATGATTTCCTATGCACTAGCTATGCATCATTTACAAACTCACTGTTTCTTGATGTCTAACTTGAGTATACAACAGGTACACAAAGAAACCGTACTGTTTCATCCAAGTACCCAGTGTCTTGGCAAATACAACTGCTAAAAGCAAACAAGATATAGACACCCAGTAAATAATGTTAAATCAATAAATTGATATGAAGCCATTAAAGATGAGTCTTTCTGAGACAAGGACTCACTATAACCATGGCTGCCCTGGAATTAAGGGTGTGTGTGTGTGTGTGTGTGTGTGTGTGTGTGTGTGTGTACAGACCAGGCTGGCCTCAACTTTGCTACAGTTCTGCCTCTGCCTATAAAATGCTGTGATTTCAGGTGCCTATCACCATGTCCAGCCAGATTAGTATTTATAATGGGTATCTGAAAAGGAAGATGAAAATCAGATGAATAAAGAAGTGGTTTATAAATAACAGGCAATATGGTATTTCCAAATGCAGTATACATGGTGCAATAGAAAACTGACATTGAAACCAGGAAGCATCACATCAAACATCCTAGCTATCCTGGAACAATGCAATTCCAGGCACCTCTTAGCCTCTCTTGGCCTGGCTGCTACCTCACTTCCCTTTGACGGCTACTCTGTGCCCTCTTATGTAGAATACAGCTGATAAGCAAAGTGGTAGAAAGCAGTGACTGTCGTGGAAGACCCACAGCTGGGAGCCTTCCGACTTCCCAGTGACCTGCTTTTCCCAATCACCTGGGCAACAACAACTCAGAACAGCCCATAAAGTGCCACTAAGTACAGCTCCACAGGGAATCTGAGCCCCCCACCAGGCTTCATGCTCCTCACAAACTTTAGATTTCCTGGCTCAGGCTTCCTACCTGAGCAAACAGATACTCCAGTGAACTGGCATCAAGGAGTGGGGTTGCTTCTGGAACCCTTTTCTTCTCATAGCCATTTTTCTGCTTCTTTGGAGAATGTCGCCATACAGACTGTTCATTGTCATTGGTTCCGTGCCAATTGGTAAAGTAAAACCTAAAAGACAGTTTAATAATGTCAACTGTGGTGGAGGAGTCCCTGGATTGCTCATCTGGGAGAGGTGTCTATCCAGAGTGGTCCTTGCTGAAGCTGAACTGCCCTGAGGAAACTGAAGACACAAGCCTTGCATCTTCAACCCTCATCACCCTGAGCCAACATCCCTTCTCACGTTTCCAAGGACACTGTCACAATGTACCTCAGCACCTCCTTAGACAGGAGGATAAAGTAATGTCCTGGTGGTCACAGTACAACTCTTCTGACCTCTATAACACCTACCACCCTTCCTAGGTAAAACAGCACCTGCCACCTACAACCAGCTGTTACTTCACAGCTCTAGCTCTGCTTGGCTGTCCTGCCCAAGGTCTTTCCATTTTGGTCCTACCATTTCTGAAATCAAGTTCTGTCCAACAATCAACACTAACACAGCAGTGTTTCTTGGGTCTCAGATGGCTGTTATTGAATTGGTGATGTACTTGACAATGAGCAAAGCTTCCAAAGGGAAACACAAACATATCAGGTGTGGGGACATGCTGAAAGAGAGCAGCACTTTACCCTCTATGCCGCCTACTCCTAACAGCAAAACCTGCAGGCAGACTTCACTGTTTCCTCTGTGCAGATGAGAAAAATTCACGTTCACTGAGGTGAGGTGACCTAACCCTCCAAACCTGACTCACGACTACTTTGGCCTGTTGGGGAAACAGAACAGTTTCTAAGCTGTGCGATGGCTGAGCCACTGTGGCCCAGCTGTCTTCAGGCTACAGACTTGGCTCTGTCTGGGGCTCTCTCCCAAATGTGCCAGTAAGTTGAGAGAAAAACAACCATTTCCCTGAGAAGCAATGAACAGCTCCCACACTAAAGAGCTGCTATTAAAGTCTGACAACAACAGAGCCAGCACAGGACAAGAGGACTCTCGGGCATAGCCTCTGCCCTCTGTGAGTTCTCTGCCCCACAATAATACAGAACAACAGGAAGTGGGACACATGTCATAAACAGAACTACACTGCAGCATTCACAGGCCCCACATACTTCTTTTTTCCTCTATAAATATCTGTCAAGAGTTACATTTTACAGCTTGACTTATGCTCAGTTTAATGTGATTAAAAATAAAACATACACATTTCATGGATGCCTGATAATACTGTGAGCCCTTAACAACATGTTTACTTGTCCAGCATAACAATGCCACACTAGAACTCGAAACTTTTGATATTGCAATATGGCATTATTATCTACAAATGTGTTGAACCACCTTCATAATTATCCTGAGATGCACACAACCTGCAGGCTACATGTTGAACATGCCTGACTCTAGAACCCAGGCAGCAAACAAGTACTTGGATGAGGCAAGATGCTTCTGCAAGAACAAGATGATGAGCTGAATTGGCCAGGAAACAAACAGGTACATTTTGAAATGGTGTGGGCAAAGTGAGAGTTCCCTGACAGCAGAGGCCACAGCTGTCTTGCTCAGCACCAAATCCCCAGAGCCACACAGCAGGTGCTAAATATGTGCTTCACAGATAAACAAGTGATGAACAAATTCAAAGAGTAGCAGTCAACAAGGGGAGGACAGGATGGAACTATTACTTTAAAGGTAAAAAACAATATGTTGTAGCTTTCAGTGGTTGTATACAGCCTGTCTTCTCTTTAGCTCATGAAAGGAACTGGGAGATTGACTATGGGCTTCAGTGTCTTGCATGCAGATAACAACCACAAGCTGCACAAACTACTTCAGGTCTCCAAAGCAGATGGCAGACTATCCCCTTAATTTCCATATATGTTCTAGGAGACCATATTTCAATTGGGAGGACCCAAGGGGACCCACCAATGCAGTGGCTTATGTTTATGTGGGCCTGGGCCTTATAGTACTCCTCACAAGAAGAACAGAGCACAGGAGAAAGGAGTCAGTGAAGCTCCATTCTTCCTAGAAGCAGGAAGCAGAACTACCTGCTTACAAATCTACAAAGGTTCAACCAAGCCTCTGACTGAAGGGCACATAAGCCAGGTAAATTCTGGTAGGTAAAAACCACGTGAGGACCACAAGCATTATGTTCAGCATGGCAGGTTCCCGAAAGCTTTCTGAGAGAAGCCCTGAGGACAGGTACTCTCTGAAACAATCTAACCCATGCACACTCCTTCAGCATTCAAACTGGTAAGCCAGGTTCAATGGTGGTGCTTACAATTCCAGTATTTGTAAGGCTTCTGCAGGAAGACTGCAAGTTCAAGGCTAGCCTAGGCAACTTAGCAAGATCTGTTTTGGGGAAAAAAAAAAAAAGCCGGTGCTTGCTTTGTTAGCATAAATACTAAAATCAGAACGATAGAGAGATTATTACCATGGATCCAGTGCAAGGGTGACAGGCAGATCTGTGATGTGTTCCAGATTTAAAAATAAAAGATGATTATCAATATTAAAAACTTCTTAATTGCTAATAGAGCAAAACTAGAAAAGTAACATGCTACCATGCCTGGCTTTGTATGTTGGTGGGTGGGATCCAAACTCAGGCCCTCGCAAGTACTCTACTGACTAGGTCAGCTCCCACATAACTGTAAAATTCTCAAAACTATCAACTTACTGTAAAATTTAAAAAAGTTACCAAGCTGCTTACTGAACTTTGTATACTTAAGTCCTGATAATACGGTAACAGTTAAAATGGAGGGCGAGTGAGTACAGTGTTCACCAAGTGCACACACCTTTACAGAACGATGGGGAAGGAAGAAGAGAGCAACACATCAGCCATCTTGACAATTCCAGAGAGACACTAGAGATGACTATACATTCTAAGTTTGCATTTAAACTCTGTACCTGATGAAAAGTTTTTTTAAGTTTCTACAGAATTGTACTGAAGTCAGTGATTTTCACTCATGTTTTTTCCTTGAAAACAAGAATAAGGCTGTCTTACATTAATATATATCATAAATTACCATCTACATCATTAAGTAAAAACAGAAAGGCATGCCTAAAGTGCAAGAATATTTCCTAAAGTAGAGCTGGGATGGCCCTGCGACAATCACTAGACTTGTTTTCTTACTGTAACTTCTTCAGTGGCTAGAGTACCAGCTTTCAAGCTCTCTGTAGACTGTTGTACCGCAAATGTCTGCATTGAGGGTGGAATCTTTCCCCAGCTTCAAAGAAACTGTGGTAACAAAGCAATATCCTGTTAAAGCACACTGGCAGGTATAAAGTCCAGGTGACAGCACTCCTGTACTTCCTGGCAGCTAACAGAATGGGGAGCAGCTAAACGCCACAGGCAGCCATGAAGACAAGCACCTGCTGCACTACCAAGATGGTTTCCTAGATGTGGAACCTCACCAACTCCTTTCTCTTTGCAGTTCATCAGCTTTTCCTCTGGAAAATGGGAGGGTTGAGTTAGGCAAGCTTGGGTCCTTTGTAAATGCTACATGCTGCCATACTGGACTGTGATCTATGTGTAAAAGCCCACTGGGAAAGAATCAGACCTCAAGGCCATGTCCCTGTCTAAACTTCCAGCTGCAAGTCCATTTCACAGGCTGAGGGAATTAAGATCAGAGTGAGAAAAACAAACCAAAACATACTGAGAAGGCTCAGCTGGAAGGGTTAAAGGGTCCCCTATAACTGGTGCAAGAGTCTCACAGGGCACACAACTCTCTCTACAACCTGAGAATTTAGCTGAGCACCAGAAGAGGAGAGTTCAGCCTCTTAGACTGGTATGGTGCTGCACAACCAAAATGTAACAAAGGCGACAGATGGGGTACTATGGAGACCCCAGAGATTGTGGCAGGTGTTTCTAGCATGGCCTGGAACCCTCTTAGCATCTGAGCTGATCTACTGATTTAGCCATATTTACACAGATCAAGGTTCTTTTCAGAAAGGGCCTAGCCTGCTTATAAGCTTCATGGCTAAGCAAACATTAATTCATGCTTTACTGCCATCTAAAATGGTTTCATTCCCACATACACTTCCTCAATACACTTACAAAGTCAAAGATGTGAGCCAGTGGAAGAACCAACTGTCTGTGTGACCTAGGATAGTTAACAAAGTCTCTGACATGGGAGAAGAGTGAAGTGCTCATCAGAACAAAAAGCATAAAAGCAATGAGAGCCCATTGTTGTCAGGGGTGGATCAAAGCATCACTCCCTGAGAGCAGGACTGAGCACTTATTTCTGTTACCTCTCCAGGTGGTATACAGAATGCTTCTTAGCCACAGCCTTTAGTAGGAAACATTTTTATATCATAACTTAGTATATGCATATGCATATACAGATACACACACACACAAATATTTCTTAACTCAAAAGTTTTAAAATACAATGACCTTAGAATATTGGGGGAGGGTGTGTGTGTGCGTGTGTGTGTGTGTGTGTGTGTGTGTGTGTGTTTTGTTTCTTTCCTTCTATCTTTTTTCAAGTGCTGGTTATAACCCATTATGTTAAACCTACAACCATGACTCATCATGTGGAAAACTTTGCTAGAAGGCTTTGATTCTATCTAAACGATCTTCATATCATGTTTATAAAATGTGAGAGGTGATCAAATTCACTCTGAATCACACTGCAACATGGAAGATGTCCCTTCTCGTTTGAGAAGCAAGCAAATAGAGTAACTATAGTACTTCTTCCTAAGTAATTTGGGGCCCCTGGCCAAACAATGTCCCAGGCAACGTGAGTAAACCCTCTGACAGAGTACAGCTCTGTGTGCTGTACCTCATGCGGTAGTGGAGCCGGAGAGACATTTTGTCATCCACAGTGATGATGCGGTTCGGAGCGTACCAGAGCTTTGTGCTCTCATCGTACAGGGCGAAGAGGTTGTGACAGAGAGGAGAGATACCTGAGAAGAGAGCACACGGCTAAGTTACAGGCAGATGCACTTGGTCATCTGTTTCCAAAGAGCAACATACACAAAGATAAGGAACTCTCATCCAGAAACAATCTCTGTCACTTGCATCCTCTCAGCACTGATGCATCTCTCAGCTATGTTCACTCAGGGAGTTTTAATCATGTGCATCAAGAATCACAACTCCCCAGGAGCATGTATTGTAGCTCCTGGCAAATCAAATTAAAGCCATTTGAAAATAAAACGATACAGTTCTCATTATGGGAGTCTTACCAAATTTGGATTAAAAGAAAAAAGGGCTATTTCAGAGGCCCACAGAGCCCATCTGATGTGCCCTTTTTAAATCACAGCAAGGGAAAAAAACATCTCTTCAAGGGAAGGTAGGAATTCCTCAATCTGTTTCTTATAATTTGTTTAAACAATTCTGACACTGTGATTATACATTATTACATGCAAAGTTGTTTCTGGCCACCATACAAACTGCATATTAGAATAAACAATAAACAAAGTGTTTGTCAGTGATTAAAATGTATTATAATTAATAATTAAACACACTTAAGTACTCTCTACACTATAATAAATGTATTTATCTGCATTAACTCACAGGAAGATCTCTTAACAAAGCTGGTCCTACAGTGCTCTGCCTTCCCACTCCACTATCTGCTCCTTTAATAATAACCAGCATGGTGGGAAAACTAGATTAGAAAACGCCTTGCTTCTGGGTCTATCAGGAGACAAAACAATGAAAGCTAAAAGAAAAACTTTACTAAAGTTAGGTGAAAATGTAAAGGAAAGCACACTGTCCCAACACCATTTACTGCAATTACCAATGAGAGCTATAAAAATTCAGTATTTATGTATTTTCAAATTAACAGAAGAGATACTATCTATTCTCTACATGCTGGACTGAGAAACAGATAACTCCCTATGTCAGACTGTAACAAACGACTGTCTATCAAGAGTTACTTAAAAATATGGCCTCCTTTCCCCACATTCCACAGAGCTCAGTCCATTTCATCCCATGTAGTACTAGGGTAGTAAGAGCCTACCATATTCTTCCCCTGTAACATAAATTCTCCCCTTTTGTTGGTGTTCTGGTACATAAAACACTTTAAGCAGAAAGATGTGTATTGGGAAGTAAATAGGGCCTCCAGACAAGCTATATTACTAGCAAGATCTTAAACTGTCTACAACATTACCATAATGTCGCACTCAAAGTTAAAGGTAGGCAGAGCACGGCCCAGGCTCTCCCGAATCACAGCAAGTTACCTCATCGCATTTATTGGAACACAATTTACAACTATAAAACCCACCTGTTTTAAGCGTTTATTCCAATGAACTTCAGTAAATTAATGTATGAGATAGGTGGCTGTTTTTATGGATTTAGGGCTTTACTTTACTTTCCATATAAAATTAGGTGGGTAAACACCATGCGCCTCCATGCTGGAGGATGATGAAAGGAGATTTACTTTGTTAGGTGCTTTGGTCTCTCATATTAGCAAGGTAATGGGCTAACTTTAAGTAAAACAAGTCTCGCTTTCTTTTTTTAAATTAATTTTTAGGTTAATATACAAAGGCTTCATCATGACATTCTCACACATATGCATTTTTATAAACCAATCTCACTTTTAAAAAGGATTGTGTCCTTTTCACAATCTAGCATGACCAAGCCACAGGGCAACCCTAAAATTCCCACTTCAAAGTGGCAGAATGGACCAGGTAAGGGAAGAATGGGCCAAACTCAAGGAATCAGAATACTCAGCAATACATTAGGAAACAGAACTACTGATCTCATACAGACTTGCATAGAACCTCAGCTAGTGATGATGTCATTCCAATTACAGAGCTGTGAGAGAATAGAGAACCGAGCTTTGGCTGGATGTGATGGTAAATACTTGTAATCCCAGTAACCCACTCAATGTCAGGAAGAATACAGCTTTGAGGCCAGCCTGGGCTATGTACTGAGTCTGTTCCCCAAGTCTGAGCCTTACAGAAGGCAAGGGTCATTCCTTAATATTCTATAGCTGTTTCATTAATGATAAAGGAGAAATGCACATGTTTCCATGAGAAGTGAAGGTCCAGGATTAGGAAACAAGGCAGAACCCTGGCTTCCAGAACTCACACCTTGTTCTCAGCAGAAATAAAAAGAGGAGAGACTCCACATGTGCTCTTACAGTGTCCCACTGCAGCCTCCCAGCCCTGCAGCCAGTACTCACTGCACTCCTGGGCGGCCCTGATGCACAGCTCCTCGGCGGTATACTCTCCACAGCCCAGGCGGAGTGGTTCCCTGTCCAACAGATAGAAAGTCACCTCCACTCCTGGCTCAGGGACCACCTGCTTCACCTCAGTCTTCTTGAAGCTCCTCATTTTAGCACAGAAAGCCATGGCATTGCAGTCCTCTTTTATATTTAGATACTGTCAGGAAGGAAGAGCAGGCAACATAGTCAGTCTATATGCTGTTTGCTATGGAGGAAAGTAAGCGGGCATCTGTGAGAACTTCTACCCTTTTCCTTTCTGAATACCAACGAGGCCCGAACTTATAAGAGATGGAACCATAGAAATAATTAATTATGCAC